AGGGGGTGAGAGGTGTTGTCCATGATGGATGTCAGCTTCCCTAACATCCTCTTCTCACCCACAGTCCAGGACAGAGCTCGCTCTCCTAATCAGTTTATCTAGCTTCTTAGCACTGACGTATTGGTAGCTGTGCGTTGAAGGAATTTGTATGTTTGTGTAACATTGTGTTAGCAGTGGCTCACAGTATGGTGATAAATTGTCCATATATTCCATTTAAGTAGCCACAGGGGGTCATTTACATGGAATATTGCGTGGCCACAGAATCACTTTTTCTCCTAAAGTTAGCTTTAGTTAATGCCTCATTTGCATAATTAATTATTAAACTTATAATACAAAAAATAATTATCTTATTTAAGTAACCAGCAGGGGAGGTTTCATGGTGATATCTGTGAAAAATGATTTTTTTTCTCAAACTCTGAGCTGAACATCTCCACAGTAGCACTTACATACACCAAACCTTCCAGTTTTATTCCTATTTATATTCTGAAGATTCATACAGAGGGATTTGTTTATATATCTTTTATAGCTTGAGTTATATTAATTATTATAACATTTCATTCCTAAAAACATGGCAAATGATTACGCAAATGAGTGATTAAAAGAGAACCTGTTTTTATCCAATATTCAGATTTCCGTTCTGAAATGTAGGTAATCATTTTTTATCCTATTCACCCGTAGCTTTAAAAGTCCCTACAATGTTTTTAAAAGCATTATTTTACACATTACAACCCTTCAACAGAGAATTGCATATTGAATGACGTGTGCCTGATGGATTTACTGTGTAATGTTTATCATTTTATAGACATTATGTTCAGCAAAGATGCTTTAATTTTACCTGATGAAGGCCCACCAACCGAAACATTATCAGCTTTTTATTAATTCAGAAAGCAAACACAATGATTTAATCTAAAGCCAAACACAGAAGGCAGCAGGTTTGTTTTTCAGGCCTGTTAATCTTCCCTCAGTTTAATATTCATTTCTGCGCCACGCTGTGAATTCCTCATTTTCACAGTTGGAAGCTGCTCGTCTTATTTTTAGGCAAACGAATGAGCAGGTTTTCATTCGTTATTCAGCACCAGGCAGAATTAGTCATCAGATATTTTCTCCCTCAATCCATCACACTCATTATTTCTTTATTTAACTGCCTCTCTGCCTTCCTTTCTCCTCCTCCTTTTTCATTTTTCCTCTGGCCTCTTTCACTCGTTCTTCTCTTCCCTCCCTCTCTGCAGAAGTTCTATAAGGAGAAGTTTAATCGAGAGAAGGGGAAGTCCAGCTACACCAACATGAAAACCCTGCCGGAGGTGGAGCACGCCATGGAGGTCAACAAGAACCAGAGCGATGTAAATACACACGCACATTTGTACTGTACCTCAGTGAAATATTACCAAAAAAAAACACAAAACAAGCACTTATGTAACACTTTGCTCTGCGGTTGTGTGGGCGACCACCAGGCGAGAACTAAACACCAGCTCATCTGTGAGGAGTTCAGTGTTCACAGCACAAAAGATGAATATTTTTGTTTTGTGAAGCATTGCCAGCAGGTTGCATTTATCCAAAGAGCATGGCAGAGAATTTTAATCACCATCTAACTAAGCTAGTTCAGCCTTGTTTTTTATCAAGAGTTTTAAAGTAGGTCTGTGGAGGACTGAAGCTGCTAGAAGCAATGAATAAATGACCATGATAAATTCCATTAAATGCACCAAAAATTTTATTAAAAATAAATGTTGGCATTAATTAATTTATAAAAGTATGTTAAATATTCTTCTGCATTTATTTACTTTTGCATCAATTCTAAAATAAATGAAATTAAACAAACAAAGCAAATCGAAACAGAAATATTACTATTATGTCACATTTATCTACAGAGGGACGAGGGTCCTCTTCTACTGTGTCCGCCATGTTGAACCGCCATGTTGCTATAGCAACAGACGGGACCGCTCGCATTTTTCGTGCACATCACGACCATATTTAAGTCTGCACTGTTAGATGGCACCAAATCCTACACACCGGGTCTTTAGTGCTTACATTTATTTTTAACATTATTTTTGGTGCATTTAATGGCATTAATTTGTTTGTTGAATAATCTTTTTTGCAGGTATTGTCCTCCATATTAAAGACTGTCACATCCTGATTGTTGCCACGCTCTTTTCATCTACAGATTGTACAAGACCTTTAACTAAAACAAAAACAGGGGAATGTTTTAGCTTCTTTACACCGGATCTTTGTTTTACAATTGAATTTAAAATGTTGACTTTTAGGGCGCCCTGGTAGCTCACCTGGTAGAGCTGGGATGCCAGCTGTACCAAAGGCTGAGTCCTTCCTGCAGCAGCCCTGGGTTTTGACTCCAACCTCTGGCCCTTTGCTGATGGTTCATCCCCCCCCTCTCTCTCCTCTCTCTCTCTCTCTCTCTCTACAGCTGTCACTATTGATCGAAGGCAATGAAAGTCCAAATAATATTTTTGCTAATCCTTTGCATGAGCAGGCATCGAGCTACGTTACTGAACTGTGGTCCATCCCAGAGTCTGGACTAAGGACCAGGGAGGACTACAGATCAATACCACCAGCTCTGTGGTGTATTCGGCTTTATTGACTTTAAAATGAACTATCACCGAGAGAATTAGAGGCAACTAAAGGTTTTACACACTCTGAAGGCTGTTTGTCTGAACTGAGGGAGTGCATTTAATTGCACTGTTTATTTTGAGTAGATGTTTGCTTTTTGTCACAAGAGCCTCTGCTGGTTTCCAGGTCGGCTACAGAAAAGGCAAAGAAGAGCTTCACCACTACAGCACGCCGGCAGACAGGCCTGACATCGTCAACGCCACCAACGCTGCTAAACTGGCCAGCGACGTGAGTCTGTGTGAGAACACGCCACTACGCCGCATTCAACACTCATTTCCATGACGACGAGTCCCATTCACCAGCTGTTCTCTTGAGTGGAGCCACTGATTAATTATAGAAAACGTTCTGCTGTTAACACTGAACTATGTAAGAGTGTC